GAGATTGGTCTATAGCTTTTTGGATCATTACGGTCTTTGCCTGGCTTCAAGATGGCGATGACTCTTGCTTTCCTCCAGATTTTGGGGATCTGACAGGATGCAGTGCAGTTGTTCATCAGCTCCAGCAGCCAGCGCCTTGCTTTTGGACCAAAGTTCTTGATTTGTTCCATCCGTAGATCATCCAGGCCAGCTACTTTGCCATTTTTACATTTATTGAGAGCTATGCCCAATTCAGTAGATGTAAAGGGTTCATTAAGGTTGTTGTTCTCAATCTTTGGTTGTCTGGCTATTGATTTCTGTCCTACTTTGGTGGCAAGGTTGGGTTTCCCATTCTTCAAGAGTTGGTGTGCTATCTGATCTGCCTATATGTTGGCATGGGTATTAGTTTGTGAGGGGTCATTGCTCAACCGTCTTAGCAGCCTTCACGCCTTCTGCCTGCTCCTGCCCCTGTCGACCTCTGTGATCAGCTTGATCCACTGTTCTTTCTTGGCTTCAGAGATGGAGGACACAATGCTCTGTGCTGCCTGAAGAGTTTGCTCACTAAATGGGTCTTCGTTGTGGAGCTTGTAATATTTAATTGTCTTTTAAAAAACTTTTGTGTCGCGCTTTTTAAACTGTGGCCAAAGTGTGGGATTGTTAGTCACCTTGAGTCCCCAGAGGGAGAAAGGCGGGGTATAAATAAAGCTCTATCCTTCTGTTTGGCAGCTCTGTTTCTCTCTGTTCCAATACAATCGTGTTTTTCTGAAAACGATTTTTCCTGCGCTTCCCCTCCTCCTATCTCTTTCAGGTCATTGTATCTCTCTCACTTCTCACACACTTCTCTTTTCCCGGTGCTTGGCAACACTTTCTCTTTCCAAATTCCTTCACTCCCTCCTCCCCTTCTCTTTAACCCATTCTCAGAGCTTTCTTCTTCAAAAATTGACTTGTGGAATCTCAGCTCCCTCAATAATAATAATAATAATAATAATAATAATAATAATAATAATAATAATGGCTAGGGTGGTTATTTGGAAATCATGTTTACTTTTTTTGCGGCTGACTCAAAAAGCAAGAGAAAAAACAATGTATTTCTAGATGTTAGTTCAGCCCTTCATTCCATTGACTAAAGAAGGTATCTGTTTTCAGCCATTTCCATACAGCAGATAAGCACATGCATGCATGCAATCCCTTAGCAAGGATGTTAGATAAACACAGAATTCATGTAACACTATAGTACAACCCCTGTACCCTTGATACTGGTACTTGATGTTTCACCTGCCCAAAATATGTCCTTTCTAGGAGTTTTTTTAATGCTCTAGAAAAGACATATACTAAATGATTGTATAACGTATGACAGAAGTCATTTATTTCAAAAGGCTTTATGATTATCCATGGTCCCTGTTTCGACCGTAGGTTTAGGAATGTGAATATGGGCCATATTTTATAATGTCTTCTGTTTATGTTTTAAGCTATAAACTAGATGCCATTTTAATCTTTTGAGATATATTAACAGGATTTGTAGTGTGTAGTAGGCTTATTTTTGTTTTTCTGAAGCTCCCAAAATGGTAAAATGGCAGTTGCACAAACAACATATAACTAAATTGGAAATGGGGGAGGTGGCAGGAAACTCTGACTTTTTATTCTTACCAGTGTGAAATTATCATTAGGGCAGAGACAGAAAAAGTGGATCACATGCAAACTCAGAATCATCAAAATGGAGCTGCTGCCTAAAATACCAGTACTAGTTGTGTTGGGAACAGCAAGTCAAGCCACAGGTGGGAGATAAACCCAGCCACATAGTTGTCATTTCTCTGATTGTGGTGTTGAAGTAAGAATTTCTCCTTAGGTTGAGTCCCCCTAGGGGTGAGAAAAGTGGTATATAAATACTGCAAATAAATGAATGAATGAATGTCCATGTTTTTCCCTAAACAAGGTATATACACTTTGCCAACCCAATTACACTTTTCATGGGCTCCATTTGCGAGAACAACATTTCCAGTTCTTCTCTTTCTTCTATCAAACATCATTTCCATGGGGTTTACTATGTGCTCAGAACATAGTAAGAAGTCATTTTCTTTCATTCCTGGCATCTCCTCTCCTCTGTACAAAAAATGCAGAGTGGTCACTTCTTTCATGTTGCCTTTGGTAGCCTCGGTGCTCTCCTCTTCCTCTGTTCTTTTTCCTATTCTTGGGACAATCCTTTATTAGGTGACTTGTATCTCCACTCCCAAAGCATTTCCTTACATTAAACACCCTTATGAAATCTTGGCTACTCATAACTTCCCTAGCCTTTCCTGTAGCAGTTACTTTATGGCCTTCTTTGCAGGATCAGCTTCTTTTCCTGCTCTAAAAGCCTTGAAGACACATAGTCAAGGGTTATTTCTTTATCACCCTCATTTTGCATTGCATAACAAAAATTGTCCCAATCCTTGGATAATGAAGAAATCAAAATATAAGCCTTGTTTTCTTCAGTGTAACACATTCCCTTTCTTCCAAATCCATGAACAGAGTTCTCATTTGCTGCAGATGGTTTGTTACATTTTCCCCCTTTTGAAGTTTTAAATTGTACAGGGTGAGGCAGCTTAACTTCTGTTTTTCAAAACTTAATAAAACCCATTGTATGAATCAGAAAATTTTATTTTTTATTTTATAACGTAGGTGCATACCTAAAGTTTTGTTTTATGTAGTTTTGAAGATCAAATTAGGTAGGTGATATCCCCCATTCTCCATATACTGAGTAAACCGATTTCTGGCGTTTGTCATGACTCCTGCTAGCATAGCAGGCGTTATGTTGGCAATTTCCTCCTGGATGTTTGTCTTCAAATCTTGTAGGGTCCTTGGATGGTTCACATAAACACGGGATTTTAAAAAAACCCATAGAAAAAAATCACAAGGGGCCAGATCTGGAGAGCGGGTCGGCCACTCCAAATCCACTTGAAAAGTAGGCTTCAATGGCAAAAGCACGCTCCTCACTGTCCCAATGCATGATGGCGACTGAACTGTGTCAGGACAAAACTTTATACTCCCGCCTCTCGAATGAGATCACTAGTGCTTCGCTACGTCTTCAACCGACTGAATGGCGTGCATTTTTAAAAAGGAAATAATGCTGCCTCACCCTGTGTAACTTTCTGGTTAGCAAAACTTTCATGCCTGCTGACTGGCTGAGATAAACTTCATTGAGACTTTGCCAACACTCACCAGCTGATTGAGCATATCTTACATATGGCAGCTGTCTGTCCTCCAATGCCAAAATTATAGAAACCTTGGCATGCTGGTCTGGCACCAACTTTTCATCATCCCCTTCTCCTCCTTTATCAGGAGGATTTTCAACTACTGGCCACAAATTGTCTCTTAACAAACAATTCAACATTTTAAATGACCATATGGCATAATTGCTGGCATTCAGCCTTTCAAAAGGCAGCCTACTTGCTTGAAATGCCATTGCCATATTTCTTCAGCCTCACAATAGTCTCTTATGGTCTACATTGGGCTATACTGGTCTGTATTGTTCTTTACTGGGCCTTGACTGGGCCTATAACCTTTGTTGGGCAAATGGGCTTAACAAAAGACCCTCACTATAAAAGTACTAAGCAGAGCAGCCTATGTAGCAGCAGAAGTGTGACCCAGAAAAGCAGTAGCCAGTATAAGACAAAATAAAAACAGAGACTGATGTTATTTTCCTTTGGAGGCATTTTTTGTAGAAAAATAATATGGCTACAAAAACAAGGTTTTCATAACATAAACAAAATTCTTTATACTTCCTTGTTATATCTTAGCTTCATCTTCTTGCCTTCATGCTGGGCTTCTTTCTCATGTAGATAAGGAACATGCAACTAACTTTAAACTGAAGCAGCTCTCTCCTTAGAGTAGTCAAACACAGCAGTCCTTACACCAAGGCATTCTTGACACAGAAGGAAGTCTTCACGCAGGAGGAGCAAGTAACTCACAGGCACACCTGTTTATATTATCCTACTTGTTTTGCTTAGTCACTGCATCATTTTAACTCTTTCAGTGCCTGTACATCATTTTTATAATTAAAAATACACTGTTAATTTTCAGTATTTCTGACATTAACTTCGACTACAGTGTGGTGGTTAAGTACAGAAATGTTTCCTGGTCTGCAAGACCCTTACTGAGAGGCAAAAATCACTGGCTAACCAGCAGCCTGATCAGGGTTACAAAAATATTAGTCTTCTTTGCTGGATTTGTCAACCCATTTGAGTTAGATTATTGTATAGGTAGTCCCCGAGTTACAAACATCTGACTTACCCATGGGAAGAGAAAAAGTCCAGTGTACCACAGGAATAGAAATTGAGGTGAAATCTTTAGAACAGAGTCACAGATGTCACCCCCCCCCCCAAACACCACAATACCTGTTCTGACTTACATACAAATTCAACTTAAGAACCTACAGAACCTATCTTGGGAACTGTCTGTACTTTTCATTGGTTTAAAGGCCAGTTTTCATATAGTCTTTTCATGAATGGTTTGTACTCAAACATATAAGTATCTAAAAGCTTTTTGTGAACTGTAGCTGTGTAACTGCAAGTTGTGATCTCTAATTTGTGACCGTTGGCCCACCTGTTTATACTAAAAGTATTTTACATTGCATGTTTATTTAGATCCAAATCATATTCAGCTCACTTTACCATAAATACATTTAGATTCTAAAGCAGTCAGATGTAATTTATTCATTTAATTCCAGTCCAGCCATGGACTCAGGTTTTTTGGTTTGTTTGTTTTTGTCGTGTCAGGAGTGACTTGAGAAACTGCAAGTTGCTTCTGGTGTGAGAGAATAGGCTGTCTGCAAGGATGTTGCCCAGGGGACACCAGATGTTTTGATGTTTTATCATCCTTGTGGGAGTCTTCTCTCATGTCCCTGCATGAGGAGCTGGAGCTGATAGAGGGAGCTCATCCACGCTCTCCCCAGATTCGAACCTGCGACCTGTCGGTCTTCAGTCCTGCCAGCACAGGGGTTTAACCCACTGCGCCACCGGGGGCTCCAATGGACTCAGGTGGGAGACCTCAAACAAGAACAGTTAAATTTGATCCCGCTACAAGTGTTTTTCATAATTCCAGCATCTGCCAAATATGAATAAGGGTCCATGTAGTTTGGAAAACAAAAATGAAAGAAGAATCTGCACATGTTTAGCTGTACCTTCTTTATTACTGCTTCTTATATACCCTCTGGCATTGAAAACTAGTTTTTAGTTAAAGCTCAGAGTAAGGTTTGTCTGCGATTCAGATGAGATTTTTATTTAACGGTCAGCAGCATGTAATAGTTAATGGACAACAGTTCTGTAGACATGCTTCTATGGTCACATATTATCTGGTGATCTGAGGAGGAAATGGATAGATTTGAGAACTAAATATATTTTCATGTTAAACCTAAACCAGCTTTATCAATGTAATAAAATTATTGTTGTTTCCAAGGTAGAAATATAAGGTAATTTAAGGAATGAGATACTTTAATATTTAAAATATGTATTGGTTTAATATGCACTGAGATTTGATTAGAATTGTTAAAATACGTGCGATATACAATATCTACTGAAATCTGGCATCTCTTTGTTCAGGAAATCCAGTGTGACATTGGTTTTAAAGCTGTGCTTCAGAGGAACAAATTATTCTTAAACCATGGTTTGGTAGATACTAGCAATTACACATTTTTATTCTTCTACCCCAATGGATGGAAAAAAAAAAGATAAATCGGAACATTTTCTATTGACAAGCCCATATCATTAAACATACACCATCCTCCTTCATTTCCTTGCATCATACTGGTGGATGTTTATATAAAATTAATCCCAGGAGATACACTAAAAAGTAAATATGACTACTGTCATAGTTGATAAAAATCTAGAACTGATGTTCTTGATGTTCAAGAGTTGAGCCTACCTCCTTTAGGAAAAGTATGGTAACATGTATGTTATTTATAAATACATTATACAGCTATATTCTAACTTGAAGGCTACTGGAACAAGTCAGTGCCTACAACATCAAAACATATGATACAGTCTTTCTAGTGTTGTTATAACTGGCTGATATAAGCTTGGGATTTTATCTGACTGACAAAAATCAACATTGACATTAAAATACAACACTGCCTGAGCTCTGCGAGTGCAGCATTTTCCCGAATGAAGCACAGAGTGTTGAGGACCGGGACATCCATAGGGATACCAAGGTGCTTGTTTATAAAGCTATTGTTCTCCCAAACCTGCTATATGTCTGTGAAACTTGGACTGTCTACAGGTGTCATATGGAACTCCTGGAACGATTCCATCAGCGTTGCCTCCGAAAAATCTTGCAAATATTTTGGGAAGACAGGCAGACAAATGTCAGCGTGCTGGAAGAAGCAAAGACCACCAACATTGAAGCGATAGTTCTCCGCCATCAGCTCTGCTGGACCGGCCACGTTGTCCGAATGCCCGATCACCGTCTCTCAAAGCAGTTGCTCTACTCCATACTCAAGAATGGAAATCAGGATGTTGAAAGACAGGAAAAGAGATTTAAAGATGGGCTCAAAGCCAACCTTAAAAATTGTGGCATAGATACCGAGAACTGGGAAGCCCTGGCCCTTGAGTGCTCTAGCTGGAGATCAGCTGTGACTAGCAGTACTGTAGAATTTGAAGAGGCATGAATGGAGGGAAAAAGAGAGAAAAATGCCAAGAGGAAGGTGCGTCAAGCCAACCCCAACTGGGACCACCTTCCACCTGGAAACCAATGCCCTCACTGCAGGAGAACATGCAGGTCAAGTATAGGGCTCCACAGTCACCTACATACCCACTGCCAGGACACTGAACTTGGAGGACAGTCTTACTTGGACAATGAGGGATCGCGTAAGTATGTGATCATTATTTTGCCCTTCTCTAGGACACCAATGACTGTTATGACTATGGGAGGAGTGGCATAGGAATACACCTAATTTCTTTTCAGATTGCTTGGTGATTTTTTTAAAATCCTTCTCAAATAGCTGCAGATAAAAAAGTTGATAAATACAACCTTGTGAATTTAATTTATCAGCAGAGATCTACTCAGTTCATTGTGTTCTCCAACCACTTAATAATATAGTTAATACTTAATAAATAAATTAATCACTGTGGTATAAAAGTATGATATTAATTATGGTCAAACTCTAAATTATAAGTGTTGGCAAAGAACCATATCAAAATTCTCTTTTTGAACAAAATTCAGTTTGGGACATCAGAAAAGATGGGGGAGTAAGCTAGAGAAATGTGGGACAAATGATTAAGGAACTACTACTACTACTACGAATAATAATAATATTTACCTGTCTCTCCCTGTGGCTCAAGGCAGGGTATAACATCATTAAGACACAAGGTAAACACTATTAAAAAGATATACAACAAGATAAACCGAGTTAAAATACAAATTAAAATCCACTGATGAAATGCAGAATAAAATTCATAACTTAAAACTGACTAGGTAGTGTTAGGGATTCCTCATCTTCAGAAGAGGAAGGGGAGCAGAAGGGGAGTTAGAATCAGAGGATGAGCTTTTGCAAGTGCCCACATTTCTGGAAAGGTGAAAGGAAACAGAGCCGAGACACCTTTTAGCTAGAATAGCTGCTAGAAATGCCAAAGTAATTGGGAATCGCCTTAGCACCTCCTGTGTGGGGAATTCAAGGCTATAAATCAGAAGGAGTAGTCATTTTTTGCTGGTAACAAACAACCGTGATGCTTATGCCTTCGCTCCCATTTGTACCTGCTTTGAATCTGGGTTTGAGAAACTGCTTCTAAGGATTTATTGTTCAATGCACGTTGTTCTTTGTCTGATGTGAGACTGCTGTTTTATTTTGGACTTTATCAGAGACTTGAGTATTGTGTCTGCATTAAGACCTTTGCTTTCTTTTGAATTATACAACTGTGTGTACTGTTCTCTTATGCTTTGCTGAAATAAAGCATTTTTCATTTACTTTCAGCATGGTATTAAGGCTGTTCTTGAGGGGCAAATCAAGACAGGTAGATCTGCCGGAAGAGATGTGTCATAAATTCCGACACTTGATTTATCTGTCAAAGTTCTTCCGGCAGGTCATTCCACAGTCTTGGGGCAGCTGATGCAAAGTTCCCCTGGGTAACGGTCACCAGTGGGGTTTTGGCTGGTTGGAGTAAGAGTCCCCCAGAGGACCTAAATGTCCCAAGGGATGGATTGTACAGGAGAAAGTGATTCTGCAGGTAACTGAGACCCAAACCATGTAGGGCTTTAAAGGTGAAAACCATCACTTGGTACTTCGCCAGGAAATTTATTGACAACAAGTAGAGAGACTGTAGTATAGGTGTAATATGCTAACCCCCGATGTTCCTGTAACTAGTCTGTCTGCTGTGTTTTGAACTAATCGGAGTTTCAGAACTTGATACAGAGGAAGCCCAATATAAAGCGCATAGTAGCTCATCAGCTTGACTTTTATCCAAAATCCTTTGGAGGTTTATTCTTCATTCAGTTGCTACTTACAGTTATTTACAGGTCTTCTGTTAGTATCATGGCAAAGCATCTAAAAATGGCAGATAGCAAACCACATGGCAGAGAAGGAAGTGAAGATATCAGCCACTCTGATTCTTCCCTCCAGAGGACAGAAAATGACTCAACTGTCCCTAGGATCACATCTCTATTTTCTTAACCCTTTAAAATACTGTGTGCTGTGAGCACATGTCTAATAACTGTATTTTTCCACACTGGAGGTACATGTAATGCATTCCTATCATTACAGTTTTTTCTACCTCACATCTCCTTGTGGAGAGAAAAAAGTGGGGGGGGGGGGTATAACTAAACATAATAGTAGTAGTAGTAGTAGATCATTACTGTTGCACTCTAGCACTGGAACCCCTTTCATTCAACACTACACTAGAGTCTACTCATCCAATAAAGAATGTTTATTAAATTAAAGCAAGTAATAAAAAGATAAAAGGGAAAATCCAAAAGAAGCAGTAAAGATATAAAATGCAATTCTCAAAAGAAGCCAGAGCTTAGTACCAGAAATTCCAGGTTAGTACACAAAGCCATTGAATCCAAAAACATAGAATTAATCCAAAAGTATATCCATGAACAAGAAAACAGGACTTCTCCAAGGTAAATTCTCCAAAGATACAGAGTCAGAAACAGGAACATGAAACAGGAACTTGGACTCATAAACAGGAGACTGATCTCCTTTAGCAATGTTGTCTCCTCTGAAAGGCATGAAAGCATGAACCAGGAACTTAGAATCATAAACAAAAGACAGATCTCCTTTAGCAACATTGTCTCCTCTGGAAGGCCTGAAAGCAAACCACTTAATTTAAACCCTCCAAGCCACCCATGACATCATGCCTTGCACATCTGGATCTCTGGGTCTTATCTTAGAGCCTCTGAGAAAATCTGATTTGCCAACTTTTCACTTTTCATTTGCATTCTCAGGTCTAATCTGTTCTCACTTGAAAACTCCTCGTCTTCACAAGGCCTTTTCTCAAGGGAACTGGTACTTTCATTTTCCCCTGTTGCCTGGGAATGAGCTGAAGAATTCAAAACATCAGCCTGCAATTCTGTTGGGGTTCAGCCTGAGTTTGAACTTGAACCTGATTCTCTGTTTGTTCCTCCTGATGCTAATGAAAATATATTTACTGATGCTAATGAAAATGTACCTCTTGATGCCAATGCTCCTAAAATTAGTGAGGAAGAAACTTCTGTAGATTTGGAAAATGAAAGTACCAGTGTTCATGAGAATGTTTCAGAGGGAAGCCATGAACTTTCACTCCCTTTTGCACCTGGTAACTCTAATGAGAACAGAAGGGGCCAGATCTGGCAAGACAGAAGTAAATCACTCAGCTTGCGTAGGTCTTCCCGATTAAGAGAAATACAAACAATGGCTTCAAAGCAGAGGGGCAGTTCACGGAACCAATTCTTTGGCTTGAAGTGCCTTCCGCCGGGCTGACTTTCTCAGTTCAGGCATTGTTTCAGATTAATGAAGACCTTGGCAGTTCTCCCAGTTTCCCTGGCCATGGTCTTGAAAGATTTCTAGGATATCAAGCACGGTTAGTGGATTGCTAACAGGTTCCAGTATTTTACAGTGTGGTTTTGGGTTTTGTTTTGTTCATTTAAATTCATGTTTGCTGATTTTGCTGTGGCTTTTGACTTGCATTTTTCCTTTATTTTGTAACCATTTTTCTTCAATAAAAAAGGATTGTTCTTCACAGTCAAGTGTGGTGGATAGTTATCTTAGGGCCTCGTTCCTTGCTCTGGATTGCAACAAATTCCTTCTAATCACTCACAGTGTTGCACCCCAGAACAGAAACGATACCCATTGACTTTAAAACACACCATACATTGAGTGAAAAACCAATCCTTTTTTTATTTAAGCTGAGTAAAATAGCCAGTAGAAAGAAATGCTTGTAAAAAAAGGAAAATTTCAAAATGTAAAAGATCAGTAAAATGCAGTAATTCAAAGCAATGTCCACAAAAGATATAAAAACAATCCAAGGCAGTATTTATCTAGACAGGAATCAACAGGTTACAAAGATAATCCAGTAGCAAAATGGTAAAAATCTCTATAAGAACAAGACCCCTTGAACAGGATTTCCATGGCACATGAACATGATTTCCAAATGATGCCTGATCTAACAGGCTTTCCCTTGAAGCAAACCTTATATCCCAAAGCCCAAAAATCGGTTTCATTTTCCCCCACTCTTGCCTCTTTTCTGACGAAGCCTTTCGGAGCGACGTAAACATTGAGTTTGTTGTCAATCCTGGCTGAACTCTAGCCACCTATTTTTCAACTCTCTTTCTGGCTGCTTATTAAAATTTCCAGGTGTCAGATTGTTTTTCAAACTCAAATCTTGAGAGCTCACAGAAAGAGGGAGTAAACCACCATCCTTAAGCCCAGCAGGAGTATTCTCATGAGAAACTGCCCTTTGCACTGGGGCCTCTCTGTCATTGTCTGCATGAAAATCATTGACCAAACCATCTCCATCTTGCACTTCAGCCTCAGCACCATCATTTCCCTCATTATGTCCCACATCAAGAGCATCATGATCCTGAGCATCATGAAACACAAACACAGGCTGATTCCCAACACACAGACACACTTTGAAAACCATCACCCCCCTCATGCTCTGAACATTCAGAAAAATTATCTGATGTTTGCCAGACTACAACAATTACAATTTACCAATTTTGCACAATAATTCTAAAAAACAAAACAAAAACCTTCCAGTGGTTTTGCAGAAAAGGAATAGGTTCCTGCACCCAGATCAACCTTCATAAATACACTGTTCAACCTGAATAATTTGGTAGCTTTAAGCCAATATGAAATTGCCAAGTGGGGAGGAAAACAATCTACTCCTTTGTCACTAAATCTCCAGAGAATTAAAAAAATAAAAAAAGACATGGGGTGGAGAAGTAGAGGAGAGAATTACAGCTACACACCTGTATTTCTAATGAAATCCTCATAGATGAGTATGGTGAGTACGCAAAGTATAAAGATGGGGGTGAGGAACTAGACACAACTGCTTTTGTAACAATTCACATGATGTTTATTTTTTTAAAAGATTGACCTTTTGGTAAATACTGCAGAAATTGAAAGGAAATAACCATGAACATGACGTGATTGGCAAAGTGTCATTTTTATCTTTATTTTTTTGATAAGGTGGGCCATGTAGCAGCAAGTGCCTTGTATATCTAAAAAGAAAACATCAAGTGCATAAATAAGTATTTCAATAGCATTCTGTCTTAATTCATAGCAAAGCAATTTAGAAGTAAAATCAGATTTTGAATAGCTATTTAACTGGGCAAATTTTCCAAGGCTGAATCGTTTAGTGACCCAGTGAAAAAGAGTACATTCCTCTGGCTT